TGAGCCCGTGGGTTCGAGACCTGCCTGGGCAGTGAGACCTCATCTCTACAATAAAAATAATAATAATAAAAAAAATCAGCCGGGCGTGGTAGTGCATGCCTGTAATTCCGGCTACTTGGAAGGTTGAGGCGGAAGGATCGCCGGAGCCCAGCACTCCAGTCTGGGCGACCGAGTGAGACTCCAACTCAAAACAAAACAAAACAAAACAAAACAACACAACACAGATGTATTCTCTGGAGGTCAGAATTCTAAAATAGCATGTTGGCAGGGCTGTGTATCTTCTGCAGCCCTCAGGGAAGAATCCATTTCTTAGTCTTTTTCATCTTTTAGAGGCCATTTGCTTTCCTTGGCTTATGATCCATCCCCTTCCTTCCTTCCTTCCTTTCTTCCTTCCTCCCTCCCTCTCCCTCCTTCTCCCTCTTACCTTCCCTCTCACTCTCCCTCTCACCCTCCCTCTCCTCAACAAAACAAATGTGTTTTTTTAGTCATTAAAATGATCAGAAGTTATTTTTATTTGGTAATAATTAATTGAGGTTTATGATCTCTGTCTCGACTTGAACATATGTATGTATTTTTGGTCTCTTCTTGCATCACTCTTGCTTCTGTTGTCACATCTATTACTCACTTTGATCTCTTTCCTGTCTCTTATAAATACTGTTATGATCACAGTGGGCTCATCCAGCTAATCCAGGGTAATCTCATCATCTCAAAATCCCTTATTTATTCACATCTGTAAAATCCTTTTTACCTTGTAAGGTAGCATATTCACAGCCTCCAGGGATTAGGATGTGGACATCTTTGGGGGCCATTATTCAACCTGCCACGTGATGTGAAGCTCAGCTAATTGTGGCATCTGTTCTCTAAGGGGTCTTGTAAACCCCTGAGAAGTGGGAGAGAAAAGCCTAAGGCTTGGAATGAACTGAAGCCAGGGTTGTAGAGGTGGGGTCTGGGATGATAGCTTAGAGCCCTGTGAAGGTGACTTCTGATGAGGTCTCTTCCATGGCCAGGCAGTTGAGGCTCCTCTTGGGTGAGCCATCCTGGCTAGGAAAATGAGGGTGGCCACCAAGGCCCTGCCAAGTTGACTGAGGGTAGGACTTTGTGGTCAAAACTGAGGATAGCATCTCAGGCCACTGGGTTGAAGCATGACGATGTCAGAGCTCAGGCTCAGGGTCAGGACTAGAGGGTGGGTTCTAAACCAGTGTTCTGGGGAGTGATTCATTTGGGAGGTAGGGTCAGAAGTCACCTATTGTTGACTTAGAAGTGGGAGGAAGGTAGGGGTCCATCTAGTCAAGGGTACAGGATGAGGGTTGGAAGTCCCAGGCCAGGAGCTGGGGGGAACGGATTCTGTGTGGATGGTCTGAGCTGAGTCAGTACCTGGGACTTGCATCCAGATAGTTGAGGATCTCTGACCAGAAAACTGAGGGTGGTCTCCAAGGCCCTGCCAAGGTGACTGAGGGTAGAACTTTATGGTCAAAACGGGATAGCACTGGAGGCCACTGGGGTGCCTCAGTTGGGGAGCAGCTGAGGAAGTCAGGGCTAGCTCTGGGCAGCCTTGTTGAGGATGATACAGATACCAGGTGATCTGAGCATGGAGATAAGAGACCTGTGCAGGAGTCAGAGCATGTCAGAGTTCCTGCTGGAAGGGTTCTGAGGCAGTGGTAGGGCCAGTTACTGGTCTCAAGGCACCCGGATCTGCAAAAACAGGACTAGATCCTCCCGGTCTCAGTCTTGTCTCCCTGCTCCAGACTGGTGAAAACGCTATTCTAGGCACCTCATGAGGGCTAGCCATGAAGACAGTGCTGTCTGGGAAATTGCAGCAGGGGTGGGACTAGTGGCCCTTGGACATCTAGTGGCCCTTGGGCATCTAGTGGGTCCCTGATGGCCAAAACATCCTTGGAGAGCATGGTGAGTTTCAGAAACATGAGGGAAAACCAAGGTTCCAGACATTCTAAGAAGTGGAGTGGGTAATGATTATTTCAGCTCTGCCAGATTTGTCTTGAGATATCCTGTTGTCTGAGCTGCTTGTGGATTCAGCTTTTTTCTTATGTGTGGCTTTTTCAGGGGACTCTCCAGGCCAACTCCCCTTCCTTATTGCCCTAATTCACACTAAGGCCCAGTGTACCCATTGGTAAGGCAGTGTGTATAGCTTGAGGGATGTGGAATTTCCCTGGGGGCTGGCGGTTGGTGGATCAGGTCAGCTGCAGGGGAAAGGGTTCCAGGCAGTGTACCAGCAGACATGCATGGCTGGGCAAGCACATTTACAGCAGGGCATGGCAGGCCTCACTCCTGCCACCTGTAGGTACTAATAGGGCTGGGCTCCCTCTCCATGCCAACCCAGGCTTTCCTGAAGTGAGCTCCCTTGCTGACACAGGCGCTGGACATCCTGATCTTTTCCTGACTGTAATCCCTAAACTGCCTTTCATCTCTTCTTTCACTTGGTTCCTCCCAGGATCTTCTCTCTCCTTCCTCTTCTCCTCCCTTTCTTTTCAGCCCAGGAGGAAGAAGGAGAAACTGAGCCTTGGGGAGATAAGAGATTAAAGTCTCAGTGACTCACAGTTCTGGGCAGTAGACAGGTCAGGCACACTTATTCTGGTTCTGTATTCTAATTCTAACTCCGCAATTTACTAGCTGTGTGAACTTGGGCAAGTTACTTAACTTCTCTGTGCCTTGACTTCCTTAGCTGTAAAATGGAATAATAATAGTATCTACCTCAAAGGGTTACTGAGAGGATTAAGTGAGTTGATATGTGCAAATTGCTTAGGACAGTGTCTGACCCATCGTCAGCACTCGGTGCTGGCTCTTGCAGGTTGTGCTCCCCATTCCCTCATTCCCTCCTCTCTCCCCTCCACCAGCCCAAGGCCCACAGGAGGCAGAGCAACAAAAAAAAGTAGCTCAGGAAGTGCGACGGGTGGGATTAGGTCAGCTAGCAGGCTAACCTAGCGCTGGAAACGGCAAACTGATCTTGAGCCTGGACCCTGTTGAAATCTAGAGATTCCAGCATCCCGGCCCATGCTGCTAGAGGGGCCAAAGTCCTGAAGTCACAGCTGGTGTCTTTTTTCTCCTTTGCTGCCAGAGGTTCCCATCTGCTCTTATAGAGGGGGAGGAGCCTAAAACAAAGCCTCTGATTGGCTCCGTTCGTTTCAGTCCCTTGTTAGTTTCAGGCTCGACAGGGAAGGGAGGGGGCAGCAGATATTTAGCCAAAACCCAGAAATATTTTAATAGGTTAGAGGAGGAGGGAGGACTGGAGGGATGGAAAGGGGTCCGAGGTAAGGGAGTCTTTTCTAATTGTCTGGGATGATTTGTAAAGTCCAGGGGGTGGGAGGGGACAGCATGATCTCTTGACTGAAAGCTGGCTGATGTGGAGTGACTGTTCCATTTGAGACGAGAGATGGAGGGAGACGCTGCACACAGTCATATCTTTTAATGATGTGGTCTTGGTGGAGTCTATTCGCGGGGGGGGACCACTGGGGTTATGCTTCCCTGAACCACAGCCCCCACACTTGGGCTGCCATCTCCCCTTCCCCTCCTTGTGTGGATGGCCCCAGGACCTGTAGGACCCTCACTCCCTTTAGGGTTCGGTAAGTCCCCTTCTCAGTCCTCAGAATCCATTCTTCTCTCGTGCTGAGGCCTGGAGTGGGACCATATGCTTCTGCTGCTCTTGTTGCTGTTGACTCAGTTTCCCTTTCCTCCTGGGGGGCAGGAGAGTAGTATTTTGGGTGTGCAACCTTCAGGCCAAGGCTGAGAGCTGGGGACTCCCAGAGGGCTCTCCACTCAGCTGTGCCCACCCACCTGCCCTCCGCCCCAAACATCTGCTGCCTCCCTGGAGCTGGGAGCCCCAGGACGGAGTCTAGGAGGATATCAACCGATTAGGGGCAAAGGAACCAAGGGCTCTCGTCTGGGAGAGGAGGCCTGGGTTTGAGTCTCAAGGCCACCCCAGCCTTCGTGTGTGACCTGGAGCAAGTCCCTGCCTCTCTCTGTGTAGAGGCTCACCTGCTCTCCAGGTCCTGTACCGTGTCTGGCAGTGGCTGGCCCAGGGTCTCTGGCAGGAGGGCAGTCACAGCGCTGGCAGCCACGGGAATAGCGCCGTAGATGAAGAGAGGCATGGAGGGGTAGAGCTCGGCGGTCATGCTCACTAGGGGGCTGACGATGCTGCCCACTCGGGCCATAGTGCTGCCCATTCCCATGCCTGTCTGCCTGCGAGCCCACCGGGTGGGTGTTGGTTAGAGTTCTGGAATGAATGCTCGCCACGTTTGGAGTGGGGCAGCTCAGGCCTGGCCCCAGGGCTCCCCCTGTACCTCTTCTGTTCCCCATTTGATTAGCAAACCAGTTTGGCGTTTGTTTTGGTGATTTTTTTTTTTTAGTTGGAGTCTCACTCTGTCTCCTAGGCTGGAGTGCAGTGGCACATTCATGGCCACTGCAGCCTCGACCTGCTGGGCGATCCTTCTACTTCAACCTTCCAAGGAGCTGGAACTACAGGTGTGAGCCACCACACCTGGCTGATTTTTTGATTTATTGTAGAGACAAAGTCTCGCCAAGTTGCCCATGCTGGTCTTGAACCCCTGGACTCAGGCAATCCTCTTGCCTCTGCCTCCCAAAGTGCTGGGATTACAGGTGTGAGCCACCACACTCAGCTTTTGTTTTTAAAAGAGAAGTTGAGACTGGGTGCAGTGGCTCATGCTTGTAATCCCAGCACTTTTGAAGACTGAATCAAGAGGACTGCCTGAGCCCGGCAGTTTAAGACCAGCCTGGGCAATATGGCAAGACCTCACCTCTATGATAAATCAAAAAAATTATCTAGGCATGGTGGTGTGCATCTGCAGTCACAGCTACTTGGGAGGCTGAGGTGGATGGATCACCTGAACCCAGGAGATCAAGGCTGCAGTAGCCATAACTGTGCCACTTAATTCTAGCTTGGGTGACAGAGTGAGACTCCAACTAAAAATAATAGTAACAATAACAATAATAATAGTAAAAAAAAAGAAAAGTTGGAAAGGGCTCTGGCCAGAGAATAAGGAGATCTGAATTGAATTTTGTCTCTGCTCTTAATTTTTTGTGTGACCTTGGTCAAGCCCCTTTCCCTCTCTGAGCCTCAGTTTCCTTAGCTGTTGAATGAGACAGTTGTGTTGGACTGATGGTTCTCAGCTCACTCAGAGGATTTGTGAGTTAAAGTTGCCATAGCTTCACATAGACCTATTGGATAAGAATGCCCGGGGAGGGGAATTGGGGTGGGGGAAGAGATAGCTGCATGTTAAGAACATGTTCTGTGAAGGAAGAGGTTAAAAACATTGACTCAGAGCCAGGCTCGGTGGCTCAGTCTGTAATCCTGTGGCTTTGGGAGGCTGAGGTGAGTGGATTGCCTGAGCCCGCGGGTTTGACACCCTCCTGGGCAACTTGGCGAGACCTCATCTCTACAATAAATCAAAAAATTAGCTGGGCGTGGTAGTGCGCGCCTGTAATTCCGGCTACTCGGAAGGCTGAGGCGGAAGGATCTCCGGAGCCCAGCAGCTTGAGGCTGCGCTGGCCGGGAGTGGCCACTGCACTCCAGTCTGGGTGACAGAGTGAGACTCCAACTCAAAAAAACAAAAAAACAAAAAAACAATTGACTCAGGAGACAGCCATCTTGGAGTTCAACTGCACACATCACCACTTGCTAGCCATGTGATTTTTGGAGGTCACTTAATCTTTCTGTGCCTCAGCTTTCACACTTGTAAGATGGCAATAATAATAATACCTACCTTGTTGGCTTGTTACGAGGATTAAATGAGTTATATCTGTAAGAAGTTTAAGACATTGCCTGGCACATAGTAAGTGCTTTATATTATTGTTCTTTCCTCTGAAATCCCATAAAGGTGTAGGGCAATAACCATGATCCTCAGGGTTCTCACTCTGAGTAACCTAGGGAAGCCTGGCATTTCCTTGACAACTCATGTGAATTTTGCATCTCATTCTTAAATTAGACACGTGTTTCTTGGTTCTTAATGCAGAAATACTCCCTTCCTCCCATTCTGGCACTCAAAAAAGCAATGCTATGTTTATCCCTACTGCTGGCATATTGGGGCAGGAGCGGCTCCTGTAGGGGGAAGTTACTTTCATGTTTGTGGTCTTTGCTTTCAGATGTGCTGCTTGGCTTATAGGTAGAATTTAGATTTGGTGGCAGCTTCTAACTTGTGTCTTGGTGATTAAAGGAGGACTTCAATTCACTGTCCCTGAGATGTGTCTTCTTGGCTCCCTGCCCTGCCTCAGTTGGTGGTGCCTCTTAAACTCTTCTAGCATCAGGTAAGGGCTTAGAGGGTTCAATACCTGTGATAGCAAGGCCACGAAATGTGTCCTGAGTGGCTACTATGTGCCTTGTACTGATGAGTGTTGGGAGGATTCTTTGGGCTGGAGTCTACTGAACTGGGCTCTGGGCTCTGACCTGTGTGTGGGAGAATGTCTTTCCCCAAGAACCCCCATTGGGCTCTCACTCACCGGATCATCGTGGGGTACAGCTCCCCAGTATACAGGAAGATGCAGTTGAAGGAAGCAGCCAGGCAGCCCTTCCCCAGCACAGCAAGGGATGTTCGGACAATGAACTGGTCTAGAGAGAAAGGGGGTGGATCAGTGGGAGAGCTTGGGATGGAGACTTGGAGGAACTGGCTCCCTCCCTTCCGCAATGTTGGGTAATGTGTGGGGCTGGGGTTGGGAGTGCTTGTGTGTGCTCACCCTGGGGTACCACCCCATTGACCAGGATGCAGATGCCGGCCAGCAGCAGTGCGGACATCTGGGCAGGCCGGCGACCCAGTGAGTTGATGACAAGGAAGCCCACAAGCTTGGCAGGCAGGTCCACGGCACCAAAGATCACCTGGATTAGGTAGATGCTGACTCCAAAGTTCTGCAGGTCCATGACCAGCCCGTAGTATGCAAAGCTAGTGGCAAACCTAGTGGGGACGAGGGAGGAGCATGGAGTTTGTTAGAGGCTTAAGCGGGGGATGCTCTCTCAAAATAGGACAGAGCTGCATTGGGTACCCTGCTGAAGGTGCTGGAATCTGCCTTGGCTAATATTTCTTCAGACATTTACCTGCATACTTAAACTGCACAACTTAAGTATTAGGGTAGTCCTCTAATACTCTAAGTTTCCCTTTCTTCTGATAACTAGGGTCCCCAGTGTATTGGGATAATTTTTTTTTTTTGAGTTGGAGTCTCACTCTGTCGCCCAGACTGGAGTGCAGTGGCCACTCCCGGCCACTGCAGCCTCGACCTGCTGGGCTCCAGCGATCCTTCTGCCTCAGCCTTCCAAGTAGCTGGAACTACAGGCGCGCGCTACCATGCCCGGCTAATTTTTTGATTTATTGTAGAGATGAGGTCTCACCAAGTTGCCCAGGCGGGTCTCGAACACACGGGCTCAGGCAATTCACTCACCTCAGCCTCCCAAGGCACGGGATTACAGGCTGAGTCACCGAGCCGGCTTGGGATAATTTTTACTTAGTTACTATGTAGGATTTGTGTACTTTTGTCTTGATCTTATCTACTGATACCGGACCGAAGGAGGGCAGGTAGATATTGATACTGGGCCGAGGGAGAGCAGGTAGTTCAAGTGCAAGGCACATTTTCAGGGCCCAGGTGTTGAGAAATCAGAGCCTTTTGGGACCTGTCCATGGTCCTTTGCTTTTTAAGATGTCAAAAGCCCACAAAACAAAACTCAGGTTATTGGCTAGAGCCTACAACTCAGAGTAAACTCCAAGTTGGAAGCACAGACTCACTGACAGGATTCTTTCTTCTGACCACGTTTTCCTTAATTGTCACGGGATTGCAAAGGGAAAGGAAGATTTTTGGCTCAGACCAGCCTTGGTGTTCTTTTGGAGATCAGTTTTAGTCATCCTATTGCCTGTGCCTGTGTTTCTGGCAGGCACTGCCAAGTCAGTAAATTCCCTGAGTATTTTGCAGGCCAGACTGGTCTCTGCCTTCATGGTGTGATTTTATTGACTCTGGAGGCTGCTGGTCCTGATGAGGTGTTTCCATATTGGCACAGGGTTGGTGAAAGGAGAGGGAGATGGGGATACTGATGTCCAGTTTGGAGACTGGCCCTGGGTCAAGGCTGGAGGGTGACTGATTCTTCAGGATGCACCCTGGTGTGGTATCACTGCCTCTCAGAGCAGGTCTTCTGCTGACTTTCCCTTCCTCTTGTCTGGCCTCTTCCACCCACTGAGTCCACTCCCTCCCCAGCCAACCTTTTGTCTCAGTCTGTCTGTCTGCCTGTTTGTCTCTCTGGGCCTACCACAGCATGGAGAGGCAGAGGAAGAGGTGGCGGAGGGTGGGGCAGCGCAGCAGCTCGATGGCTGAGGCCTGGCCTTTGCCCATGGTTAGCTCCTTCTGCAGGCTGGCCCGGAGCACCTGCTGGGACAGGCAGGATTCAGAGCCTGGACTTCTCCTAGGGTCTCTTTCCAGTTTTACCCCTTACTCAGAGAAGCCCCTTGGACTCTGGGTCCTGGTTTGGGATTTGGGGCCAGAGCCCTGGAGGATGTCATGGGATGTCTCAGGGGGTCTCACCTCCATACTCAGTTTGGTCCCCTCTTCCCGCTTTCCATTGATCCTGGCCACTCTCTGTAGGGCCTTCAGGGTAAGGTCCAGCCTCCCAGATGAGGCGTGCCAGCGGGCTGACTCGATGAAGAACCTGGGAGCAAAGATGGGGGTGGGTGTCGGCATGACTTCATTTCGTCAGCTGGGTGGGGGCTAGGGCTGGGATTTCCAGGAGTCTGCAGTGGAATTTTATTTAAGGTTGGGAGACCAGGGGCCTTGCCAAATCCCTCTCTCTAGGACCACAAGGCAGTATCCAGCTTGGTGACAAACATTCTCCAACCCAAAACCTCAACTCTTGGGTGCTGATAGGGGAAGCAGGCTGGCTGGAGAGCTGGAGGAAGCCAGAGAATTGGTTAACTTCAGGCAAAGCCTCCTTCCCACAACCTCAGTTTCCCTATCTGTCACACTCAAGCATTGGACTGGGTTTGACCTTCCGACTTTGACCTTTTCTTAATCCGTGGGATAGGGATGTGTGCCAAGCTCTGAGAGATGAGATGTCCTGTCACTTGCAACCCTCTAGGTTCCTGTGGCAAACGCCTCCCACCCTGGGTCCCACGCACCAGGAGTAGACGAAGAAGGCGAAAAAAGGCACGGAGACCAGCAACTGCAGGTGGCGCCAGTGGGGCACAGCATAGGCCACGCCAGCCAGGAGGAACTGGCCCAGGCTGTAGACATAGCCAATCGAGGTGCCCACACAGGCCCGCGTGTGGATAGGCATCCACTCCACATCTGGAAAGAGGGTTAGAACAGGGTGGTGCAACTACCTGGGCTGCTGGGCGAGGAAAGACCCCTCCCTCCACCCAGATGTTAGTCTGTCTCCAGGCTCAGTGGACAATGCATCAAGTGAAGTTAGGTGCCAGGGGAAGGGGAGTGGGACTTTCAGTGGAGGTAGGGATGGGGAGATGGGTTCAGAATCCTCAGAAACTGTCTCCTCCACAGTCCCAATTTTTTTTTTTTTTTTTTTGCCACCTGACAACCTACTTTCCCTTCTCCCTTCAGAGCATAGCTGACCACTCAGTCTGTCCTCAACAGGAACCACTCCTCTGGTCTTCCTCAGTCCTGGGTGGCTTCCACCCTCAGTGGCCAGAGCAGCACAAATGAGGCGGTGTCTCTTCTCCATCCTGGAGTCTCCAGCTGGGACCACCTCTCTGCTGTGGTCTGAAAAAGTCCTGGCCCTTTACTAGTGAGCTCCTCATTCAGCTGCTGGGACAAGGACTTGGAAGCCGGGACTAGACTTTGGGATGGATTGCTTAGGTGTCCTGCCTGGGCCCTAGCCCAGTTCCAGTTAACTCTTTTAGTCCAGAAAATTCCAAATCCTTGGATTCCCTTCTGGGCTTGCAGGATGACTTTGGTAAATGCTTTCCCTTCTCCTCAGCCTCAGGCTCCTCCTCTGAGAAAGAGGGGGGAGGTGGGTGATCTATCACAGCATGCACCTTGATGGCCCATGGATAGACCACACTCACACCATAAATGTGTTTGGCCTGCATAATATTGACTTGCCCTATGTTTAGAAACATTAACTGGGAGCAGTAGTTTACACCTATAATCCCAGCATTTTGGGAGGCGGAGGTGAGAGGATTGCCTGAGTCCAGGAGTTTGAGACCAGGCTGGGCATCTTGGTGAGACCTCGTCTCTACAATAAATCAAAAAATTAGGAGGCATGGTGGTGTATGCCTGTAGTTCAAGCGACTTGGAAGGCTGAGGCAGAAGGATTGCCTGAGCCCAGCAGGTCGAGGCTGCAGTGGCCATGAGCAGGGTGCCGTTGCACTCCAGCCTGGTCGACAGAGTGAGACTCCAACTCAAAAAAAAAAAGAAAAAAGAGTTGCGGAGCATGATGGCTCACATCTGTAATTCCAGCACTTTGAGAGGCCAAGGCAGGAGGATTGCTTGAGGCCAGGAGTTTGAGACCAGCGTGGACAACATAACAAGACCTCATCTCTATTTAAAAAAAAAAGAAAGAAAGAAAAGAAAATTAGCTGGACGTGGTGTCATGTGCCCAGCTACTCAGAAGCTGAGGCAGAGGGATCACTTGAGTCCAGAATGTTGAGGCTGCAGTGAGCCGTGTTTATGCTACTACATTCTAACCCGGGTGACAGGTTAGAGTGCAGTAGCATAAAGTGAGACCCCAATTAAGAAAGAAGGAAGGAAAGAAAGAAAGATTAGAGTTTAATTGAAAACTTTAAAAACCTAGGATATTTTACATTAATCTAAAAGGAAGGGGAAGATATGACAGCCCTAGGATTTCCTGGCTGGAGCAGCTGAGTGTGGAGTCTCTGGATGGGGTGTGTCTCTTTTTTGAATTCAGTCCCCACCACTCTCTAATGCCTCCTGTACCTGTCCTGCTTCAGTTATTTACATGACCTCCTGGCTTTAACAAGAGCATTCACAATCATGCTTCTAAATGAGGGTCATGATGGCATGAACCTGAGAAAAAACATATTCTATTGAATTGGAAGGGCAAACCCAAGGGAGAGTCCAAGGAGCAGGCGGGGCTCAAGAGTGGAGGGCTGGGAGAGGAGGCTGGAAAAAGGCTTTTGGACTGAGTGGTCAGAGGGTAGTGGATGTGTGAGCCTCTCTCACTCAGTGTCATGCAGTTGAGGGCGATGCCAGCCACAGACATTCCCGAGAGGAGCCGGAAAGCACAGTAGACAGGAAAGTTGGGTGCGAAGGCTGTGCAGGTCCCTGACACGGCTGTCTGCAAGTAGTTCAAGATCAGCATCTTCCGACGGCCCAGCCTGTGAGGGGGAGGGAAGACCTGCAGCAGGGGTCTGAGGACGGAGGGGTCCAGGTTGGGTCTCTGTGCTGGGGTCTTTTGAGGACCTCGGAAGTATTATGAGGCTGGTGCTGCAGATCCTCAAACCAGCCCCAGCTGGAAATGCCAGCCTCCCACCTAGGCCCCCTGTGCCCAGCCAAGGAGCCCCCAAACCCAGCCCAGTCCCTTGGCCCTACCCAGGACTGACCTGTCTGCCAGGTAGCCGAATATCATGGCTCCGAGCAGCACCCCCACCATGTACAAGGACTGGCCCAGCTGGCGTAAGGCTCTGTGAGAGCACACGAGGTCCCACTGCGGGGAGGGGGAGCAAAGGTCAGGCAGAGTTGAGGCAGACTGCAGGGAACCCTCTTCCTCTCCTTCAGACTGGCCCTATGGAGTCCACATCACCCTTTTACCCTGGCACTTTGCTGTTTGCCTCTCTGGTTCTGGGAACTTTAGAAGTGTATTTTTTTTTAGTTGGAGTCTCACTCTGTCACCCAGGCTGGAAGGCAGTGGCACACTCACAGCCACCGCAGCCTTGAACTGCTGGGCTCAGGTGATCCTTCTGCCTCAGACTTCCAAGTAGCTGGAACTACGGGCTAGTGCTACCACGCCCAGCTAATTTTTTGATTTACTGTAGAGACGAGGTCTCACCAAGTTGCCCAGGCTGATCTCAAACCCCTGGACTCAGGCAATTCGCTCACCTCGATGTCCCAAAGTGCTGGGATTATAGGCATGAGCCACTGTGCCCAGCCAGCTGAGAGTTTTTTACTTATTTAAAAACAATAACAACTTTGGGAGGTGGAGGCAATTGAGACCAGGCTGGGCAACTTGGCGAGACCATGTCTCTACAACTAAAAAAAAAAAAAATTAGCCTGGTGTGGTGCTGTGTGCCTGTAGTACCAGCTACTAGGAAGGTTGAGGCAGAAGGATTCCCTGAGCCCAGCAGATCAAGGTGGTGGTGGCCACGAGGGTGCCACTGCACTCCAACCTGGGCGACAGAGTGAGATTCAGACCCAAAATGAAATATAATAAAAAAAAAAAAAAAAAAAAAAAAAAAAAAAACA